AAGCTCCTCTGCGCCAGCCCCGGGCAGGAGCAGCAACGGGTGTCCCCAGCGCCAGGCGGGCACCGGCCTCAGATCCTAGTGCAGCAGAGAGATGGGGTGGCAGACGGGGCCTGCGGGGCTCTGCCCGGTGGCCCCGGGTGCTATTCCCCATCCCGGGAAGGGACGGCCCCAGGAACAGAGCGGGGATGGGAGCTACCACAGGGGTCTGTGTGCCCCCCTAGCACAGAGCGCCCTGCCAGCACTGCGGCCGGACACGCAGACACCTCCTGGCAGAGTTTAATGGGAGCAGCCCGAGCTACAAGAGTCACCCCACGGCACACAGCACGCACCCCGAAAAAGAGAAATGACACACGGCGGCGTGGGGGGAGCCTGGGGGCGCCCCCCCCAGGACACACGGCAACACATAGGCACAGCAACAGCACACAGCAAGTCCCATCTCCGCGTCCCTGGCGGCGCCGGGATGGGGCACCAGAGTGCCAGGATGGGGCATGGGAGCACCAGGATGGGGCTGGGGCTCCACAGGATGTTAACGTGGTTGGGCTGGATGCTCCAGCCCAAATGTCAAGGGAAAAGCGCAAGGCTTCTACCCGCAGGCATTGCTGGTGGAACATTCGTATCCCCCATGCCGGGGGGCTTGCATGGAAAGACAGCGGGAGGAAAGAGGAGCACCTCCTTCCCCAGGGCACCGACTGCCAACAGAAGAGCAAACCCGCAGGAAAGCCCCGGCATGCAGCAGGAAAGTGGGAACAGAGCATTCCCGGGGAGCAGGGCCTGGCAGGGCTCAGCCCCCGGGGCGCTCGCCGGCACCCAGCACCTACTGGTTGTCCTCCCTGGCAGCGTGCAAGGAAAGAGAGACGGGGCCCGGGCCCGGCGTCAGAGCCGACGGTGCCGCGGGGTGCCCGGGCAGAGGCGCGTGGGGGGACACTGGCACGAGGGGGGTTAATCCCCTGCTTGCAAAGGGGGCAGCGAGAGCACCCCTCCATCCCGCTGGGAGAGAGGGGACGGCACAAACAGCCAAGGGGACACACGCAGCAGCAACACAGGACACAGTGGAGACAGGACACGCAGAGCTCCACATGCTGGAGCCCCAGTTTAGGGATATGAGGGTGGGCTTGGGCTGGGCACACGGGGGTGGCACCTGGTGGCCCCTTCCCACCCGCCGTGGCAGCCTGGGGGGGCGGCGGGGGCCTTACAGCGGTTGGTAGGGGCGGGCCTTG